CGTTTTTTTTTGTTTTTTTATCAGAAACAATGCATGAATTGTTTCTGTGATGTGACAGAAACTATCACTCTAAATGAGTGATTGTTATATATCAACTTTTCGTTGTGATTGTTGAGATAGTTGAATTGAGATTGTTTTGTCTCAGCTTTTAGCTGATGTGACATAAACAATCAGACATACCAAACGTTGTATTCTACAATGCATCAAATTCGACAATACATGTATAATATTATACATGTATTCACAACAATACATCTATTTAACAATCACAACTTCCAAACAACCCCTTATAAATATATATGGCAACATCTAAATTATTAATTTGTTATCATTATAATATTACTTTAGGCAAAATACTAAAATTAGTGAAAATGTTCCCACAAACTATTTAACTGAATGTTCACAATACATTTTAAGTGAAATATCATATATAGGTGAAAATTATAACATTTTCTATGCATTAAGAAATCTATTATATATCCATGAAAATAATAAGGTATGATGTATATTGTAAATATGTATTATTAGTGCATCTAAATATATTTTATAAAAAGAGAATTTTTAACATCCCAATAAAAATATCCATATTAAAAAATGGCTTAAGAATTAAAAAGTTCATTTCTTAACTTCACCAGAAAAACGTAATTATTAATCCACTCTCACCTGTCACAAATCATGTTGTTAAATTGAAATTTTCAAATTAATTTTTCTTAGGGGATTGAACTTTTCAAATTATTATTTAATCTTAATCACAAAAAAGTTTGGAAAATGAATTGGGGCGCAACCCCTTGGAAGTTAAAAATAATAATTTTAAAAAGCCAAATTTCCAAACTAACCGACGCAGCAACTGTAGAAAGTTAAAGAAAATAATAAAAAAATGACAAATATCGAAACTCACGGAGAAGCATCCAAGGCTTACGTGGACAGGGCTTATTTCTGAAAGCCTTTTAATATATTTTAAGATATTATCGGATTTGCACCTGCAAGGTCAAGCACACGAGCCAAGAAACTGCCATTGAAGTCGACAATGTCAACCAGTTTGACAATTAAAGCCTTTTCATTGCGCAAATGAGACAGCTTTTCCCGAAGCTCATCTGTAGTAACGAACTACTTCCCGCCGGAATATCCTCCATTCCCACCAACTGCAGTGATCATGTGTCCATGAGACAAAAGCTTGCACCTTCTACAAAACACAATTCGCAGCTGGTGATGCTTCTTCTTCAACTATAAGTATCGATCGCCACATAACCAGGAGCATCAAGCTCCGAGGTCTGCAATGGAGCTCCACAACCATAACAGCAAGCCACCACCGTATTCACCTTCAAGGCCTTAACTCTATCGTTCTTCCTCTTCTGGGCCTCTTTCATCACCAGCTTTGCAGCCTCTGTCACCCCTACCATTCGATCACCATTAACCTGCTGCTAGTCAACTGCATCTTCAAGCCCGTTCATGAAAACAACTTGCTGAACTTTCCCTTGGGCCATCAGCAACTCATTTCCATGACCAATACCATGTTTCTCTAACCCATAAATGCTAAAGTTGTTGAAAATATCATCTTCCCTCAATGGTACAGCAGGAGAGGAAGTAGGGATAGTGGCATGAACTTCAAGAGAAGCCATGAAAGTAGCCTTGAAATAGTCACTTGCAGCATTAGTAGCTTTGTTACCATTCAGCCCCCAAATCCAGTGAAACTTCCAATCAAACAATTTCTTGCCTGAAACATTTCGTGCTGCCACATCCTTGTACGGTTCCTTGTAGTTAACACATGTATCTCCTTGTTTAAACTTCACACGAGGACACGAATACCTATGACAGTTCATCAACATCCAACTGTGAATCCAGCTGCCCTCATCATACACATAACCAGCCACTTCCATATGCTTGTTTGAAACACCTTGCAACTCCGAATAAAACAGCCCAGGTTCTTTTATAGTTGAGTCAGGTGTAACAATAGGAATATATTCTTTTTCAGCAAGTAAACCACCAGTCCCATCAACCATGTTAGGAGAAAGAAAGGATTCAACAGTCACAGCCCTTGTATCCCCATCCATCTCTAAGTAATCACCAAGATGAGATTGCTTCTTTCTTTTGCAAGTCTCGATGGCAACTTCCTCCAACCGAGCTTGCTGATAAGCTTCAGCTAATGTTTGGGGCTGCATCATGGACACAACTAGTTGCAGCTCCTACTCCAATCCATTAATAAAGTTGCTAATGAAGTAAATCTCGTCCAAGGCCAGGTTGAATAGCGACATCAAGGACCTCAACTCCTCAAACTTCTCTTGATACTCAACCAAAGAGCCCTGTTGCCTAAATTTATTGAATGCAGCTACCACACCCCCATAAGTATGAGTACCAAATCTCTGGCACAAAGCAGCTACAAAATCCTCCCATACTAATTCACTTTTGCCATGTTTCTAACCTTCAAACCACATATCAACCGTTCTCTCAAAACAGATCACAACCAATTTTACCTTCTCATCATTAGGGATTGCATAGTTCTCAAACATTGTTTCGCATGTTCTAGTCCATTCACGAGGATCATCACCATTAAAGGACGGAAAATCTAGCCTAGGGAGTTGATGATTGGTACCTGGGCCCGGAGCCTAAAATCGCTCACGCGCTGTTACTAGATGAAACGGAGCAGGAACCCTAGGTGTCTGCACTGGGGCAGGTTCAACTCCTCTTAGACCCTGAGTTGGAAGGGGCAGAATGCCTCGAGCCCCATGCCGATCGACCAACGGCACTGTCGTACCAGCCATGGCGCCCGCTGGCCTGAGATTAACAATCCCTTGCAGCATCTCACGATCCTCCTGTGTGAATTGCCCAAAACGATTATCGAATCGAGTTTCCAGTTCTGTGAAGTGAGTAGCAGATCGAGCTTCCAATCAATCCAATCGAGCTGTCAGTGTAACAAATTGTTGAGAATGGCCTTAGCCCTAGCCATGAGTTCCTGTAACTGATCCGTATGGGAATTGACCAGCTCACGAACCACGCCAATCTTGTCGTCCAGCTCCACCTCCACCTGAGCCATCGACGCCATCAAATTGGTCAAACGCTCGTCGATTGTACCACGCGTAGTCGCCATTGAAGCCAAGACATGGCTCTGATACCACCTTGTCACACCCTGGTAGGAAGAATAGTCTTAGCAAGTTGTTTGGTTTCTGGGAAAAGGGAAGAAAAGTGTAGGAAAGGAGGGATTGAGGAAGAAGAAGGGAACAGAGGAGAATACAGGGTTTGGGATAGGGTCAGTAACCACTGGTTATTGACCTATCAGTAAATACACGGGAGCCGTAGATCTGGGGATGGAGCAATCGTGTGGTTGGCTGGACGCGGGGGTGGGGAGGGGCATTTTTGTCTGTTTTTGTATTTTTAATTTTTTTTATTTATTCCGCATTTCAATGGCTGACTTTTCAATGAAAGAGAGAGAATAATCTTTTCTCTGCAACTCTACTTTCTTCCTTCTCTCTTCCTTCTCTCTTCCTTTTTTCCAATCTCTTTCCAAATCCTTTCTCTTTCTCTATTCCTTCTCTCTTACTTTTTCTCTCACAATCTCCTTTTCAAATCTAGATCTGCTCTCTTCCATCTTCATTTTTTTCTCTAGCAATCGACGAATAAAAATTGAAGTCACCCTCTTTAATTGCGTTTCTTCTCTTCATCAACTCGTTGGCTTTAATTTCGATCTTTCTCCTTTTTTTGGCGTTTGGTGTTCTTTGGTTGCGGATGAAATGAGATGAGACAGAAGACAAGTTTTTTTTCTCTCCCTCCTTTTGTTTTTTCCCCTTTCTTTTAGGTAATATATATTGGTATTACCACACTATACCATATGGTATTATGTGGTAACGAAATATATATTGGTATTACCACTCTATACCATATGATATTACTACTCTATACCATATGGTATTGGGTGGTAACGAAATATATATTGATATTACCACACTATACCATATGGTATTGGGTGGTAACAAAATATATATTGGTATTACCACTCTATACCATATGGTATTGGGTGGTAACGAAATATATATTGATATTACCACACTATACCATATGGTATTGGGTGGTAACGAAATATATATAGGTATTACCACTCTATACCATATGGTATTACCACTCTATACCATATGGTATTGGGTGGTAACGAAATATATATTGATATTACCACACTATGCCATATGGTATTGGGTGGTAACGAAATATATATTGATATTACCACACTATACCATATGGTAGTAACGAAATATATATTCATGTGACAAAAATTTTCCTACCATATGGTATGCTCTTATTTAATACCAGTCAATACCATATAGTACAGTCAATACCATATGATATAGACTGGTAATAACTGACAAATTTTTTTGTGTCCAAAAAATATCAAAGTGGATATCATTTTGAAGAGCACAATTAATCTTATCTAACTAGGCAAAAAAAATTAAATTTCGACTTAAAACGAGTGAGAAATCGTCCGTTAAAGATTAAGGGAAGGAAAATTAAATGTTTTGCGAGCAGAGAGAAGGAGACGTTGATGTGGTACGGTCAAAAGTCAGCCTCAGCAATAAATAGGAGAAAGTGCAATTTTACCGTACTACCCTTTTCACATTTAATTTAAATAAAAAATTGACTGGCACGTGGGGAGCCATGGAAGGGGTTACTGATGGGTTACTGACCCATCAGTTACTGACCCGATCTGGACCCGAGAATACAGAGGAAAGGGGGAAGGGGGAAGAAAAAGAGCAGGGAAGATAGTTTCTGTAATTGATTTTCGATGCCCCTCTTCTTACAATACAGCCCTATTTATACGACACACTAATTACACATTGCCCCCCAAACTAAATCGTATTACAATTAATCCCCTACCCACACAGTGGTTCGTTATAGGCTCGTTCAAAGTACTGCTCATTCCGTGATAACTAAAGCTCTCTTATAATAAGTAAACTACTTGCCAACTCTCGTCTTTATCTTCTTTATATATCATGATCGAGATCCAAAATAACTTGCTATTATGTATGTTCAGTTGTTGTTCCATTTTGAAATATCCATTAAAAATACTATTGATTCTCCATCTTTAGTAAACAATATAGATGGGTCAGATTGTTAATTGGAAAAAGAAAGATTAGAGATAACCAAAAAGGAAGAACTATTTCCCGGAATTTTCCCCTTTCTACTATCTTGTTATCGGGGTTGTTTAAGAAAGAAAACAGGCCCTGAGAATTACCAGGGTGGGGGTTTGTGCATCATTTCCTACCATACATCATATCAAAGTCTTAATCACTGCTAGTTTACGTCTTTATCTTTGAGCCAAGTTGCAAAGTGCTTCAAAGCATCTTCCATCCATTCATGTCGACAACTCTCAACCGCTTCAGAAACAGATAACCAGCTCCTTGTACGAGTACTTTGCTCTGGCCATGACTGCAGCTCTTCTTTCACGTACAATGCAAACATGGCAGCCCTACACAACCCTTCAGTACAACTCTCCTCTTGATTTGTTTTACTCTTGAAGTGATAATCCCCTATGAAATCCTACCAATCAAATGCAAAATTAATTTGGAGCAAAATGATGCGTTACTAATGCTTTTAACAAACAACCATTGGTCAACTAAGGATTCCTGGTGTTCTAAAGAAAACATTGGAGAATCAAGACTCAAGTACTAACTCAACTTATCTTCGACTGAATTTCCAGTTTTTTTTTTCTCTGAAATGAACGGCGATCTGCTTTCTCCGGCGACGGCTCTCAGCCCCTCCGACAGACCGCCAGACCCACCCCGACTGTCTTCCGTGCACACGCACACGGCCACCACACCGACTTTAGTGCCTGATAAGGTTGGATCTGATGATTCGATGGCAGTAGATGCTCCGGCGACAGAGGCCCCAGAGATAGGGAAATCAACACAGGGAGTGTCTTCCTATGCGAACGCAGTCCGGGGGGCAAATATGGCTTCCTCCAAGGCGGTGATCCCATGGACCCCAATAGGCGAAAACGACCTTGTTGCCGGATCTTACAACGGCGAACCTGAACTGAAGGTCTCAGCTGGCCTCAAATCCAAACTGAGCGCCCCTTGGCAGAGATCGCTGGTCGTTCGCACGCTAGGCCTGCGGATTTCCTACACGACTTTCGGTCACAAACTTCGGGCACAATGGCGACCGACTGGAACGATGGAGATCATGGTTCTTGGGCAGGAATGTTTTATTGTTAGGCTCGACAACGACGCAGACTACTTCCGAGCTCTGACGGAAGGGCCTTGGATGATTTTTGACCACTACCTGCTGACTCAACAATGGACGCCGGAGTTTCGGCTGTCCAATAAGCTGCCAAGCACCATGATTGTTTGGGTACAGCTCCCAGCGTTCCCAATCCATTTTTACCACAGAGAGGTGCTGTTCTCGATCGGGAATCTGATCGGGCGGACTATAAAACTAGACTATCATACGCAGCACCAACAGAGAGCAAGATTTGCCCGAATTGCTGTGGAAGTGGACCTCTCCAAACCATTGGCGACGCGTATCCGGCTCGATGGGAAATGGCAGTATTTGGAGTATGAAAACCTACCGATCCTCTGTTTCGAATGCGGGAGGGTAGGGCACACTAAAGAAGTTTGTCCATCATCAGTCCAATCGGCGCCGGCTCTGTGTCTTGAGGCACCTGGTAACTCGCCGGCGGTGATGTCAGCGGCGACTCAAGCATCGGAAGAGGAAAAGGAAGGTTTTGGTCCATGGATGCAGGTGACGAGGAAATCACGGCGGGGGAGTAGGGATTCAACAAAAGGAAACTCGATCAACAGAAAAGGGGAAGGAGATATTCAGGGGAAAGGTGGAAAAGGAAAGGCTGGTATCAAGGACACCCCCGTAGCAGAATCTCGTCCGCCGAGAACCACGTCATCTGGAAATCTTGAGCTATCGGCGGGAGGAAAAGCAGGGATGGATCGCAGCACCAACCCTAAGCATAAAGGAAAGGCGGTTGTTGAAAGCCTTCTGGGCGGAGAAAGAGGTAAGGGGGTTCTGGGCCCGGTTCCAAAGCCTGTAGGGCCCAGCCCAGGGAAACCCGCTGGAGGGATCTCTATGTCGCGGGCCCAAGGCAAAGGCCCCTCTTCTTCAGGGACGAAACAAGACCCTCCCCCGGCCCTCTTTGTAGCCCCCCTCACTGATGGGCTGGCAGCCCAAAATTCCCCCTCCCTGACTTCAATACCCAGCAATAATGGAACCAAAATTCAGATAGTTAATCTCCCCCAACCTGATCCGAGCGAAGACCCCCCGACCGACAAAAACTCTCTCTCGGCTGCAGCGCGGACCAAAAACCAGAAGAAGCATCTTAAAAAACATAGCTCCCCAGCCAAAACCCCCCGCCCTGTTACCTCTAAAGCCCTCCAGATTTGGACTCCGATTAAGGGAAAGAAGAACAAGGCTCGCACCAAAATTGCGACCCTTACCCTCCAAGACATTGAAGCCTGGACGGAAGCTGCGGGGCGAAAACAAGGGGAGGAAATGGTCGGGATAGCGGACTGTGACGCCGCCGGCGATAGCCTGGGGAACGCGGCGGCCTCCACCAGCGAATGATTGGCGCCGCCGATCACCTTCTTTTCCCTTTTCTTCTCCTTTCTATTTTTAATTATTATGTCTATGTCGTCAACTCAAAGTTTCAAATGTATGTCTTGGAATATTGGTGGAGCTGGGAGCGCCTCCTCTGCCAGAGCGCTCAAGTTCCTTGTCATGAATTACAGACCTGACTTCCTTTTTATCTTGGAACCGCAGATAAGTGGCGATTCAGCAGATAAGGTGTGCGGGAGGCTGGGGTTCTCCAATGTTATGCGTGTTGAAGCCGAGGGGAGGAAGGGAGGCATATGGCTTTGCTGGAATGCCTCTGATTTTCAGCTCCAAGTGCTCTCCGCCTGCTCCCAGCACCTTTCAGTGGTGGTCACTGCTCGTTCAGCCCAGAAATGGCTCCTCACAGCCATCTACGCTAGTCCGCGGCCCTCCCAACAGCGTTCTCTTTGGCAAACTCTTCTTCACACCAGCCTTACCAATGATCTTCCTTGGCTGCTGTCTGGAGACTTTAATGCCATTAGAACGCCAGAGGAGAGAATGGGCACTCCCTCGGATGCCACTTTTCGCAGATGTAAAACCTTTAATGACAGGATTAACCTAACTGAGCTTATTGATTTGGGTTTTACAGGGCCTCGCTTCACCTGGACTAGGGGAGACAATATCAACTCGGTCAAAGCGAGTCGGATTGATAGAAGCCTCTGCAATGCCCTGTGGAATGCCACCTACCCAAACACTACAGTCAAGCACCTGCCTCGCCTACAGTCAGACCATCATCCTATCCTTACCTCGACTGGAATTCAGGGAGTTCAATCTAATCTGATTCGACCTTTCCGTTTTGAGGCCGCCTGGCTTACTAACCAGGACTTTGATAATCAGGTGGAAGGTGCTTGGAATCTTCAAGCTCCTCTTCCTGCTGCTCTGGCAGAGCTCGCTACTAGCCTCAATCACTGGAACAGCTCAGTCTTTGGCAACATTCTCCGCAAGAAAAGACGCCTTCTAGCTCGCATTCAGGGCATTCAGGAAAGGGTGGCTAGCAGCTTCTCTCCCGGCCTTTACAAACTTCAAGCCAAGCTAGAGAAGGAACTTGAGGAGGTGCTCGAGCAGGAGGAGCTGCTGTGGTTCCAAAGATCGAGAGAGAAGTGGGTCCAACAGGGGGAACGCAACACTGGCTACTTTCATCAACAAGCCATCATTCGCAGACGCAGGAATAAAATTGACAGTCTCAGGAACACCAATGGCGAGTGGGTAAGCGATCCCCAGGAGTTAGCTATGTTGATTTTTGACTTCTTTGCTTCCTTGTATCTCCAGGATATCGCTGATTACGAGGACTTGATGCCAAAGTCAGCCTTCCCGCGACTCAGTCATGAGGAGTTGGCAGCGCTTCTGCGACCTTTTAGGGGGGAGGACATCCACCAAGCTGTTCATGGGATGAAGCCTTTTCAAGCCCCGGGCCCCGATGGATTTCATGCTGCCTTCTATCAGAGATCCTGGAGGGTGGTGGGGAGAGCCCTCATTGACATGGCTTTGGAGTTTTTTACTACAGGGAGTCTCCCGGAGGGTGTCACCGACTCTACTGTGGTTCTCATCCCCAAAGTCGAACATCCAGAGATGGCCTCACAGCTCCGTCCGATCTCTCTCAATAATGTGTGTCTCAAAGCCATCACGAAGGCGATCACCAATCGGCTGAAGCCTATCATGAGAAAGTTGGTCTCCCCGCGGCAGAGCAGCTTCATTCCAGGGAGACAAACTACAGACAACATTATTGTTTTGCAGGAGGTATTGCACACCCTCAGGAAGAAGAAAGGGAAGAAGGGGGGAATAGTGATGAAGATTGATTTGGAGAAAGCCTACGACCGGCTTCGTTGGGACTTCCTGAGAGATACTCTCAAGGAAATCGGGCTTCCTAGCTCCTGGATTAGCTGCATTATGTACTGTGTGGAAAACAACAAGATGAGATTGTTGTGGAACGGAGACCTCTCTCAAACCATCACCCCGACTAGGGGGGTCAGACAGGGAGATCCCCTCTCACCCTATCTCTTTGTTTTGTGTATGGAGAGACTTTCCCACAGAATTGACCGGGCCATCCAGGAGAAGCAATGGAAACCCCTAAGACTTTCTCCGGGTGGCCCAACCCTTTCTCACCTTTTTTTTGCAGATGATCTAGTGTTGTTTGCGGAATCAGACGCTTCTCAGATAAGGATCATAAAGCAATGCCTTGATGAGTTCTGCAGCAGCTCGGGTCAAAGAGTGAACTACCACAAGTCAGCCATGTTTGTCTCCGCCAACATCCCTAGGCGCAGAGCTAGGGCGCTCAGTGAGCGGATGGAGATCCCTCTCACGGTGGACCTGGGGAGATATCTGGGAGTAATGGCCATCCATGGACGTGTCAAGCGGGGCCGATACCAGGACCTTATCATCAAGATCCAGAGAAAACTAGCTCCGTGGAAAGCTAAGCACCTTTCCATAGCAGCTCGTATCACTCTTGTTAAAGCAGTTACTTCCTCTATTCCCATTTACCCCATGCAGGTGGAGCTTCTTCCAAAGACTGTTTGCAAGACTCTTGACCAAATCAATCGGGGGTTCTTGTGGGGGGAATCGGAAGGGAAGAAGAAACTTCACCTCGTTGGTTGGGCCCAGTTGACTCAACCGAAAGACAAGGGTGGGCTCGGAATTCGCCCAGCCAGGGAGGTCAATTTGGCCATGCTGGCTAAATGCGGATGGCGGTTGATGACTGAAAAGCAGACTCTTTGGGCTCAGCTAATGAGGAGCAAGTACGGGAAAGATAGGGCCAACTTGGATCTCATCAAACCAAAAAAGGGAAGTTCCTTTACCTGGAACAGTATCTCCAAAACTGAAAGCTTGCTGAGAAGCGGCTGTGCTTGGAATATTCATAAGGGAACGCTAACCCGCTTCTGGTCTGATGTTTGGATTGAGCAGGTACCTCTAGAGGAGCTAGCCACTGGGCCGATTCCCGAGGAGGATAGGAATGCCAGGATCTCAGCTTTCGTGGACGAGGAGGGGACTTGGCGTACGGAGAAATTCAGCAACATTCTTCCCGCGGAAATTATTCACCGCATCACAGCGGTGGCAGTGGACCCGATGGCTCCAAATGACGACACTCTTTTTTGGCACCCTACCTCCGATGGACGGTTCTCAACAAAGAGCGCTTTCCACCTCCTCCAGGTGCAGACTGACAATGGGCAGAGCAAAACCTGGAAAGAAATTTGGAAGCTAGAAGTCCCGGAACGAGTTCGCTGCTTCATGTGGCTAGTTGCCCACAACAGGATTAGCTCAAATGAGCAGCGAGCGAAGCGGCATATTTCAGTGACGTCTGGCTGTTTCAGGTGCGAGAATCAGGTGGAGTCTACCTTGCATATCCTCAGAGATTGTCCCCCAGCTGCTTTTGTCTGGATGCGCACGGTACCTGCAGATCAACATCAAGCCTTCTTCAGCATGGACTTGGACCTCTGGCTCGCCACCAACCTGCAGAAGACCGATAGGTATGTGGAGGATACACCTTGGAATGCCTTTTTCAGTATTGCCATCTGGAACCTTTGGAAAAACAGGAACGGAGGCGCTTTCAGAGGAATCGAGAAGACTCTATCACCGCCATCCCTCGTCCAAGCTATTAGGATCAAAGCAGGCATTTGGTACAAGGCGTGGACGGCTCCGAGGGACAGCTTGGGACGCAGAAGTGCGCCGACTCAACGGGTGACCAAGGATATCAGCTGGATCCCTCCCCCTCTGGGATGGTGCAAGCTTAATGTGGATGGGGCCGCCAATGGTACTCACGGACCTGCGGGAGCGGGTGGTATCTTGAGAGATCACCAGGGGAGATGGAGGCGTGGTTTCATTGTTAATATGGGGACCTGCTCGGCGATTCAAGCGGAGCTCTGGGGAATTTTCCATGGGCTCGGTTTGGCTTGGCAGAATGGTAGCAGAACCTTGATTGTTGAGACTGATTCCCAACTTGCTCTCCAACTCATCGAGAAGAGGAAGGACCCTGTTCACCCGCTTGCAACACTTTTGACGGCAATCAGACGAAGACTAGCCCAAGACTGGGTGGTGCGTCTTTGCCATACTTACCGGGAGGGGAATAGAGTCGCGGACTGGCTCTCGAAGCACAGTCTCGTCTATCCCTATGGGAAGTATGATTTAGACACACCCCCGGAAGCTCTTCAGGCCATTATTGGAGATGATATGAGAGGGCAATCTTTCCCTAGGAATGTGGTGTTGGCAACTCCAGAGACCCATACCTTGTTGTAATCTAGGCACTCCCCCTCCCCCCTTGTAACCCCTTCTTTTCTTCGGCCTTGTGCCTCCCCTGCTGCAAAAAAAAAAAAAACAAACAACCATTGGTAACCAAACAATAAAACATTAACAATTTTGACAAAGATTAATAATGAACAAATGCAACGTTACTACAGAAACAATTAACATTAATGTCGGAAATTAAAAAAAAAACAATGGAACATTAATAATTTCAACAAGCAAAGTTAATAGTGCTATTTCAAAACAGCGATATTTTTATCTTTAAAAAATGTGATATTTATAAGTTATTTGAAATAACTACCCCAGGTGGCTTGTGTCAGTATTGGAAGAAAAACTTGTAAATATAAATACAATTATTAAATATTGGTGAAATTTGAACCATAAATTTATCAATACGAGTCAATATTTCTACCAACAAACCACAACTAAATAGTTCATTGAACTTATCGTCATTTGTGCACAACTAAATAATTACTGGAATTTATCATCATTTGTGTATAAATAATTTTAAAACAAAATCAAACTTCATTCTTCATGTCTCAAATTCATTATTTTGTTCCTCTTCTTTGATAAAATCCCGTTCTTTTATCATAATAATGACTTCTCTAATAATTTTAAAAAATTAAAAAATAATAATGACTTCTCTAATAATAATACCTTAGATTTGGAATCTCAAACACATTATTTATATTTATATATATTGTGAAGATAGACCAAAGTTTTACTAGAACTAAATAGAAAACTTCACTCTCACGTCTCAAATTCTTAATTAAGTCTTCTTCTTTGACAAAATCCTCCTCTAGTTAAAACTCGTTAAATTTATTTTATCATAATAACGAGTTCACTAATAATGATACTTTCAATTGGAATCTCTTTACTCATTATATGTATTGTGTAGACTAGAGGTTTTCTAGAATTAAATAGAATTTTCAGTTTTTCAGGAACATAGTCATTGAAATAAGCAATTTAGCTTTGCTACTAGCCTCAACTGCAAGTGTAGAAAGAACATCTACAATGAGCGACGTGAACAACACTCTTCAATATTGAATAAGTAAAAAAATCATAATAATTGTTTGATTGAATATATTGAGATTATAATCATATAAATGTGTCGTATATGTTTTGCAAATATGAGAACAATATGCAAGACAAGGGTCTAAAATTATCTTTAAATGTTTTCTGGAAAAATTTAAACCCACCTTGTACAAATTTTTTGACTATGCTACTTTCTAGTGTTATTTGAAATAACACAAAAGTGAGTCAATTGAAATAACTTATTCCAAAATACCACATCTCATTCTATTTTTTGTCAAACAAAGTCATTTTTAACTCAAATAACTTATTACAATACCCCATCCAGAATTTTGGTTGGATCTAAAATATCATGAAGGAAATATATCAGGGTCGAAAAACTTACCAATATATCACCTCGAACTCCAGCTTCTTCTATAGCTTCCCTTACTGCTGCCTCTTTAACAGTCTCATCGTTCTCCCACCCTCCCTACACATGCATAAATAATGTTTACTAATATAAGAGATAATCACTATTCCAATTGGATTATATTTTGTAACTTTTTTGAAGTGTTATTTTGCTCAAAAAAACTTAAACCATATTAAACAACTCCACAGATGAGCGTTTGAAAGAACTTTTTTTTTTTTTTTTGACAAAAGCTTTTGAAAGAACTTAAAACTTTTTAACTCATAAAAGCATAAGCTTTAATTTGGAAATTCTCTAAAAAGTTCTTTTAAAATAGTAGATTATCCTTAACATATTTAAATTTTTATTAAAAAAATTATTTTCTTTAATTTATATCATTCTTAAACTAAAAAATTTATAAAATAATATTATTATTGGATATAAAAAAAATTTAACAAGATCAAGTATGACAATTTGTATAAAAAAATTAATATATTTTAGATTTGAAATTCTTTTTCGTACATTTTACATCACCTCTTATATTAAAATTGCTCCCAATATTTTATCATTCAAACACTCAATTGCTTATTTTGAAAATACCTTTATAAAAGCTTCAACGAGAATTACAACAAAGCCAAACTAGATGATGTTAAACAAGCGAACATAAAAAGTGTCATCCTCGTGGCCACACTTAAGAATATAAGCAAAAAATATAAAACAGCTCGAGTGAGTCTTGCTATACCTTTGGCAACAATAAACCAGGACCACTGGTGGAGTTGATCATGAGGACCTCAACAACCTTCCCAGAATTAGTATCATCACATTCTCTATACCTAAATGGAATGCACCTGCGGATACAGCTTTGCCGAGTTAGAGAATCACGATTTGCAAAATGCCTATAGAACCTCAAACAGTAACACTCAATCAAACAATCCATTTCCATATCTTTTCACACAAAACAAAAGCAATCAAAATTTGTTACCAACCAAACAATTACGACTACAAGCATACCATTATTAATCCTTCATTTTTCTCATTTCCCATCTTAATAACACCATATGAGCATGTTCCATTATTTGATAGCTGCTGACCTTTCAATCTCCCTCAATTTCGGCAAACGAACACTTGCATCTTTCACGGCATAGCTAAAATGGAAGGAAACCTCCAACTCCTCAACTCTTTCAGTTGGATATGGCTACCTAAGCCTATACGAACATTTATGACTTGAAGCTTACACCCTTTATATGATTCCAAGGGTCATGTTGCCAGATTCGTTTCATCCACTGGATAAAAAGATCCTGTAAGCGACTGACCTCCTCTTAAGGGATACTTCCAAACTAAAATGCAATTTGAAACAAATCAATAACGATTACTGAAAATGGGAAAGAAAATTAGAAAAGCCACAGGCCCAAAAACAAAATATCCCAAGTAATGGCCAACCATGAGAAAGACACCACCATTTCTGAAATTTCTAAGTAAATGAAAAGTGGTTCTCCAGCCTACTGTGTTAAATCGTATATAATTTAGGTTCCAGACCATTTAGCAAGATTCCGTGATCAATTCGACCCAAGGAACAGGAAAAAGCGAGCCAGCCAAACCACTCTTGACTCTTGAGGATGATATTCCACAACAACTCTACCATCATACATACAAAAGAAAAGGGTGGATAGCATGTCAATCACCAGCCACAATAATGTTTGACGGATCAGAAATGATCCAATTATGACTGATTCCACAATTGAACAGAGTATGCAGAAATACTAAAGAAAGAAATCAATCAAGCCACAAATCCGCAATTCAGCAATAGAGTTAGTAGCTATTATGTGACAAGACTTACCAATAACCTGCCCCATTTTTGTCAAGCTATTGTTATCAACCAAAGCATCCAAAATCCAAGAACCGCGAAACAACAATAAACCATATTGCAGGAGGAAAGACTTAAAGAATCACATCAGGAAGCAGAGTAGTATTGGAATGGAAAAGATTTAAAGAAGGGATTTTGTTCTTACCCAGCCACAAGGCGACAGCCGCCCTCGTACCGTTGCTGATGCCGACCAGTCCTTGCAACTAAATCAGACATAGCTGAGCAGTAGAAACCAGTCAGAAAGGGAAACCCAAAAATGAGACCAGAAATAAGAAACAAGGGGGCAGCCGGAGGGGATAAGAAGAAGGGGAAGAAAAGTTTAGGTTAGCCTTGGTTTGGAGACTTGGGGATACCCAAAACATAAGGAAACACCATTATTATTGAACGCGAGAGGAGAAGAGAAACGTTAGTAGCTAGGGGAGGAAGCAAATCTGACAATACGGAGAGGACATTTCTCTATCCGCTCTCGTCACCCATTGTTGGTACTGCGCGGCGAGATTACCCAAGTCTCCGAAACTTTTATCCAAATTTTGGGCGTGTTGATTCAGCTTTCCGGTTTAGCCCTGCTTTCTTCCTCTCTTCTCCTACTCTTTTTCTCTTTCGGTGGACAAGGAATAGAGATTTCTTTTTTGGTGAGAGACAAGGAAGAGAGATCGTCACGCGGAAAGGGAAGAAGCTCTTGAAAATTAAGATTTGACAACATACTTGAAATGAACGAATGGAAACGAAAAAACTGGGAAGAAATTCATAAGTAAAATTAAAAAAATTTGTGGGTCAAAATTTTTTTTCCTCATAACAAAATAGTAGTTAAACTAGGATTTAACCCGCGATTCGGCGACGAGATAAGTCAAAATGTGTGAAGTGTTGTGGGATGTTTATGCCTCAACCTAGTATTAACTGAATAATCTCGCATGGAGTATGTCACAATCGTACCTTGAAATGCCGCGTTCGCTTTTGGGATCGCCAATGATGTTACATAGAGTAGATCGAACACTCTTCGGTCGGCTCTATCCTTAGCGTCAGAATCGAGACTTGGTCTGCAAAATATAAATCTTAGTTCGGATTACGGTTATGTGTGGGAACTGGGAAGTGAACTCACACCCCACAACGCCGAAAATTGGTACTACTTAAATTTGTTAAGTTTATATGTGTTGGGTGTATTTTTAGGTCCCACTAGACTGCTAAAGAGTTTTATCGTATTAGTTTATAGTTTGATTATACGCCCACTGGCGTACAATTGTTTCAGGTGGAATTTCGCGTGATCAATGCACCCAGACTTCAAGAAAACAGAAAACGATGTTACTCGGTTCACACCTCTTCAAACACTGTTCGAACGAGGGTGTTCGATGCATATATCAAAGGTTCTGGCTACTTTTACCTCTACTCCTATGGAAATTCCTTGAGAGTCCGCAACTACTGACTACCACTAACAGAGAAGCCTCGTTGAAGGGTCCCTAGTGCTACTACTACGGTTACTGTTCTAGAGAGAAAAGATAAATTTTGACGAGAAGGTTTGTGATTTGATTTGTCTGTCTTTTCTCCAGAATCTTGCTGCCAGTTTTGTTGTACCTCATTCTCTAAACGCCTTCACTCCATCTTCCTGAAAATCAGTTCCACGTAGAATCCAGTAACTCCTCCGAGCGTCTTTTGCAAGTCAGCTGCTGCTTCTGCTAACCACCTTTGACACGTCATCATGTCCCTGGACAATCAACCCTACGTACCATGGATGAACAATTAAATGGTCACCATACACCAAATAACTTGGATAGTATCCATATTTTTGGATGGCACCATCCACTTTGAGTTTGGATGGTGTCCATTACATTTGGGATGGCGTCCCTCATCTTGGATGGTACCATCCATCATAAGGTTTGGATGGTGTCCATGACGTTGGACACTACCATCCATAATGGAATTTGGATAGTATCCATAATGGAATTTGGATGGTATGCATAATGCTGGACACTACCATCCATTATGAGATTTGGATGGTATACATAATGTTGGACACTACCATCCATTATTGGATTTGGATGGTATCCAAAATGTTGGACACTACAATCCATTATTGGATTTGGATGGTATCCGTTATGTTAGATACTACCATCCATTATGAGATTTGGATGGTATCCATAACTGAGCTACCATCCATTATGAGATTTGGATGATATCCATAACTGAGCTACCATCCACCAACTCTACGCCCAGATTTGATAAATTGGACCATCCATGTACAAGTAGACCAGCTACTTAAAGTGGCCAAACTGTTCATACATGTAATAATTAATGAAAATTATTTTGGTGTAAACAACAATTCAAAGAAAAAATTAAGGACTAATACCACTGGGAAACTCGGACTATCAAGAAAGTGTCACTTGTGTCCCGAACTATTAAATATGACATTTATTTCCTAAACTATTTTTTCATTAGTGTTGACCGAGTTTGACTGTCAATATTTAACAGAAAATTCAGTCATTATTAACGTCGCATCTGATATAGAATTTTAAACATTCATTTTTATTTATATTTTCATCTAAAATTATTAAAATAAGAAAAATAAAAAGTTCAAAAAATTCTCAAATCGTCTTAATCACTCTTTCGTTTATGCTCCTAATTCAACTTCAAGTTGACCACCATCTGGTCAACTGTTATCTGTAACGGTTAACGAAATCGTTAGAGCATAAATGACACACAACTACCATATGTTGGAAGAAAATGAAATATTGAATAGTTTGGGACACAAATTACACTTTTTTGATAGTTTGGGTTTCCCAGTGGTATTAACCCTAAAATTACTTAGTTAGTTGGACTCGAACTTTTATGGTTGCCTACGTACGCATAACACGAGATCAAAATCGACGTAGTTCATTCCTGTAACTTTGGTATTTTAGTTATAACTACGTTCCACTAACAGTGATTATCGTATAAATGATTTTTAAAAAATATAAAAAAATTATTATAAGGTTATAAAGCAAATAATAATTTTTAATTATGAAAAAAGGTTTGGCGTATTAGAAAGGAACGAAATTGACCTAACTTAGGATTCCTCGGGAGCAGATTCGGTCAATAACCTTCTGATCAATAACCATGCATAACCCAATTATCATCCGCCACATAAACACCTCTTGTCTCTCCTGTAAAGCCTTTAATTCCCCCCTCCCCCCCCCCCCTTAATCCTTAATGGACGATTTCTCACTCGTTTTAAGTCGAAATTTAATTTTTTCTATCAGATTAATTGTGCTCTTCAAAATTATATCCACTTTGATATATTTTTGGAACAAAAAAAATTGAGCCAATTTTTACGAGTCTATACCATATGGTATTGAAATAAGAGCATACCTATGTTTGAAAAGTGTACCATGGTGGTATGAACAAACCAAAACTGTAGGATGGTTGAATACATGATAGTAGAAATATATTAACTGTCATTTACGACTTTTAACATTATGTACCACAAGATACCACCCCGTACCAGGGTAGTATTGTTTTGTCTTGTATTTTGTTCACCCAGAAATTTGTAAATCCAATAGATCATGATCAACTCGATTCTTTTGTGCAAAATTTTTAAAAAACGAATTAAAAACGATGAAGATACCATATGGTATGAAGTTGGTACCGAGAGGCAATCATTTTTTTTTCTCAAAAAATATTGAAAATTGATCTCGTTTTCTAGAGCACAACGAATTCGTTCCATCTGTGCAAAAAAATTGAAACCTGAGTTAAAACGAAAAAGATATGAGCCGATTAAAAAAATGTTAATAAAAATGGCTTTTAATTTTCCATTTTTAGATCTGGATTTTCCGAATAAAGGGTACAGATTTAGTTATAATTAATCGAATTGGAATAGGTTTGGATAATATAAAAAAATCTAAAAAAGGTTTGGATAAAAAATTGACATTACCTATTAAAATTATATAATTCTTTCGCTCTCACTCCTCTCTCTCTCGCTCGTTCCTCTCGCATCTCCCTCTCGTTATTCTCTGCTTCTCACCTCTACACACAGAGAAGGAAGATAGTAGTTCTCCTCTCTTTAGCCTTCCAATCTCCCCATTCTTTCTTCAAGACAAGCCTAGAAGATGATTCAGATCAACTTAAATTGATCGGGTGGGCTTCGATCTAGGAAAAAATCGGGCCATGGATGGTCTTTATTGGCTGTTTTCACTTTTGTTTTATGATTCTGATCTAGGGTTTCTTTGGATTTTCCGGGTTTTGGTTTCGGTGGAGAGGAAGAGAATCGCCGGTATCAGCGCCGGCGACGATGTGGGCTAAGGGGTCAGATCTACTTCGTAAGTCCCTAATGTTTTGTATTTTTCAGATTTGTTTCTTTCTTTCTTCTCCTGCTGCTGATTCAGGAGCTTCTTCGATCTGGCAATGGGTAAGATTATTTTTTAAGTTATTCCTTTTTCTTGGTTTATACCGATTTTGATTGATTCTGACTTTCTATTCGTTTTGTTGTAGGTTAGGCCATTGATAGGTGTGGCTCCTAAGCTCTACTAATTTGAGGTTGAGAGGTTTTAAACTGAAAACTGGATTATATTGAGGCTTAAAAGTTTGCAAATTTGAGTATTAGAAAATAATATATGGTTGTGTATGTGTTTGACTATGTGAAATTTCTGGTGTTTGGGTGTGTTTGATATGTAGCTCTTGATATGCTAGAAGTTGCTAAAAATGATTTTTTTGTACTGGAAATGTAATTAACGTGCTCTAAATTGCTAATGTTGGCAATTATAAATCACCGTCTCTGTCCGTAATTTTGCTAAAATTGAATTTAAGTTGTTTATGTGTATCGTATTCTAGTGTTTATCAACTACATGCTACAAAGGAAACTGAAAGCACGACACAAATTTAAAATAGACTAGAAATTTATTAGAAAAGTAAGTAAATGCTTCGTTGAAAAGGACCTAAATACGGGAAGGAGTTCATTTGGATTGGATGGATTGTGATATAAGTACATGACGATAATAGTAAAGTGCTTAAATGACAGCAAGCAGTAAGCTTAATAGAAAGAACTCACATGAACATAAATATTGGCTTTTACAAGAAGAGAAATTGATAACCTGTATTCGATCAAAAAGGAAAGGAACTAGTCTGCTGCTCCGTTTCTTCAGCTCAGCGTCTTGCCCTTCTTCCCTCCTTCCAAAGAAAACCCCCCTCAGCCGCTGAAGACGAGCAGTAGTGATGTTTTATAAGAAAAATGTTTGCCATGTGTCCACTTC